GTTGAGTGACAATCCCAGCAGCGTTTACATTACTCGATGGGGCGTCGACGGGAGAACTGTATAGCTGGCCCACTCTCATCAAAAAGTCTAAGTCGGAGGTTTAATGGCACTTGTTTGAAGTGCATTATCCAGCTAGCGGAATAGATTCCTTATTTTTTGTCGTTTGGGCGAACCTGTATTGGTGTGACCCCACAAACTGCCTGACATTCTGTGTTTACCATTTCCCTATTTACTCCAATTCTTCCATCTAATTTGCGGATAAAAATTGGGACAATGGGTCCCATGACAGATTTCTAGTCTGAAAGAAGCTCGATTGCTATTTCGTCGTTTTGAAGTGTAGGGCCTACACTCAAAATTGATTCTCTGAGCGCGTCTGATGCGCACTCCATGGCTAGGCCGGACCTAACTTGTGTCATCGCTATAATTGCCGAAGGTGCAAATCTAGCTTTCTCAGTGATAATTTTCTTTGCTGTGACAGGTGATAGCCTCCGCCACTGGTGTTCTCGCCCCATGCGAAGGAAGAGTCTTTTATCTTCTGTCGGGGGGCTCTTGACCGGCTGGTTTAGCCTGCAATATGAGCCTTTGTTTTGCTAGGTTCACCGGTGGGTCCGGGAGCTTGGCTGCTTTCCGGGCTATTGTCAACCACGGAGTCGTGTTCTGAAGTGGCTTTTTCGGAAGTTTGTTGGGTGGTTTCTCACCTATTTTTGTCGCCATAGGCACAGAGGTTTTTAATTGTGTGCTTTCGGGGGAAGGATTCTTGGCTGGGGGGTTCACGGCGTTGATGTTTCTTATCGCAAACGCTGTTACGATAGGAGAAATTGTTTCAATAAATGGTGCGAGTAAATGCGCACCCGCAGTTTCTGCCTTGGACTTCGCCCAAGCGTCGAAATCTTGGAGGTAGTCTTGAGCTAGGCTCATTCTCCCCTTACGTTCGCGTTCTGATTGCTCCATAGCTGCAGCAATCACAAGAAGGCCTGGATGTAGTTCGTCGCCTGGGTCGGTAGACGCCGAGGACGACGGCTGGTTTAACGCAGCCGTGTAGCTGCTTTGTTTTGCTGATACACTAAGAGTCAAAGGTGGATGAAGGGTTATGGAAAGAGAGCTGTGGCATCTGCTTCTGTGTGAATCATTGTGGGTAGAGTTACTATGTTGTGTTAGTGAGTGAAGTTACTATTATGATTGCTGTTTGAGATGAATTTGAATTTGAAATCTTTTACGTGACAGGAAGAACCTAACATCTATTTAGACGTGACACGGGTAGATGGGCTCTGAAAGCTCATTGCTACCTACATGACCGGCAGTGGAGGCAGAAGCTACAAAAGAAAAGAATGAAAAAAAATGAACAGTATATGTCTGAGTTACGGTGCCCTGCGCCGCATCCCTATCTTCCACACCCATCTCCTCTCGGGTCAGAAACAATCTCAGCGTGGTCACCTCCCACCCTGTTCATTCTTCGGCAGACTGTAACATCTACTTGTAGTTAAGAATTGAATGAACTTCTGCCATCCCTTTTCCCCTATCATTTCCCTGGCCCCAGGTGGGGCCATTTTCTCATAGATTCTCCAACGTAGTAAAGCAGGTCGGCACTCTGAAAAATGCCAGGGCCTTTTCTCTCGGCCGCAAACGTATTTCAGATCTTCATGTTCGGGGTTGAAACGTCGATGGTAGTCGGCATAGTCCCCGCGGCCTGTTCTTGTCGCAATAGGACGACGGTACGCCCATCTTGGTAAAGCTAGTTCCGGTGGTCTTTTGCAACGCATGAATAGGTCCAGATCTTTGTATCGTTTCGGTCGATACCTCTGCCACCACTCTTCCACGAGCTCTTGGCTACGCTGTTTAACCCACCTCCCTAATGCCGCAAATGTTAGATCTTGATCTTCTAGAATGGACGCAGCTGAGGTTAGTGACCGGTTATTGGAAGCTACCAAGGCTGATTTGGCCAGCTTATCGGCCTCTTCATTGCCTTGAATCCCCACATGCCCGGGTATCCAGCGTATTTCCACACGCTTATTGTGCGTCAGCGATAAAAACTTGTCCACCACCGACTGCGAGGAGTTAGATCTTCCTCTTTCGAACGCCTGGGTGGCCGCTTGGTTGTCCAGAAGAATGCAGATCAGTAAGTCTTTTCCTACCTCTATTGCAGCCTTCAAGGCTTTCATGGCACCTACAACTTCTGCATCGAATACCTCTGCTCCGGGAAGTGGACCGGAGCCACTTGCAACTAGCTTGCCTCCTTGGTATACTACATACCCCCAGGATGATTTTCCGGGACCCGATGATGATCCATCAGAGAAAGCGAAGACTGTGTTAGCTGGGCGGGAAGCTAACCACCGCTTTATGCTTCCAGACCTAGCTTCATTTTCGACTACATGGAATCGATGCTGGAGTGCCACGTGGGAAGTATAGCTTTCCGGGGCCTTCGGCTGTCGGAACTCGACGCACACTCATTTGTAGGCGTGTCATGTACCGTTTTGGTTGTCTGAACAATCGATCTCTTTGTCCCGATCTAAGACCTAAGCGTCTTATTGTCTCTTTCGGATCCTCAGCCGCCCGAATGGCGAGAGGGTGCCAGGCATCCATTCTTCGCATACGAGCTGCAGACCGCAGCATCTTTTGCTGAAGAATTATCGATGCCGGGGGTATTCCCGCTTCACGATGAAGAGCAACATTGGGAGTGGTACGCCACGCTGGGAGTGCTACTCTAATAGCTTTCATTATCGTTTTTTCCAATAGAGATATGTGCCAGCCTACTCCAGTGCCGACTTCTTTATCTCGCAGTGTGGTTATTCGAGTGAGACCTGGCCACCACGCTTCTGCCCCGTATAGAGCTGTGCTCAGAACGCATGCATGTACCGCACGAATCAGAGGTCCGGGTGCTGCACCACGTTGAACTCCGTTTATATGTCGTAAGAAATGGACTAGACGATTAGCTTTTCCAGTCCATTCCTGTACATGTTGCTTGAAGTTTAGCTGGGTATCAAGCCAGATTCCTAGCCACTGGATATGAGGTGACGGTTCGATCCGGCGATCTTTCACCAAGATGGAAAGATCAGCCGCGTTGATTTTCTTTCTAGGTCCTCCTCCGGTCACTAGAAGTTCTGACTTTGCTGGGTCAAAATCGATCCTGTGTTCTCTTGCGAGAAGGATAAGGCTGTCGAGGTCGTCTTGAGCTGCGGAGATAGCATCCGCCGCGGTGTTTCCAATTCTGACAATAGCTACATCGTCAGCATAACCAAACCTACTCGTTAGACCGTGATCCTTAAAAAGCACAGCGATATAGAGCATGAAAAGAAGTGGCGATAGTGGCGAGCCCTAAGGTACTCCACATTCCAGTATCTTCTCTTCTGTGATTCCACCGCGGTATTTGACCTGAACCTTTCGTTGGCAAAGAAATTTCTGAATAAACCGGCACAGGGATCGTGGCTAGCCTTGTTCTCGAAGGCGTTTGAGCAGTCGGTTGTGAAGGACTGCATCAAATGCACCTTGAATGTCGAGTGTGACCATAGCCGCACACTTACCACTTCTCATGGCCGCCTCAGCATCATGGATTACACAGGATGCAAGGTCGACTGCAGATCGTCCTGGTACGGAGCCGAATAGTTGTGGGTGAACAACTTGGTGACTTATCGTCAGCCATGCCATTCTCTTATCAACTAGACGCTCAAGTCCTTTACCTAAACTTGACAACAGCGAGATTGGTCGCCAACCCTTGGCAGTTGACAGATTTCTACCCGGCTTTGGAAGAGGCACAACTTCTGCCTCCCTGAAGGCGCTGTTTGAGATGAGATGGTAGATAGTCAAATTAGGCCGGAAGACTAATGCAAGAGTGGAAGGGTCGATTTTGACAGGTCTTTCTTTTTGTTTGCTTTAGATTTTAATTGCGTATGCAGCTATCTAATTATGACACAATTTCAAAGAAAATTACATGATAGATGACTCGATTTAATAGTAGAGCACTCATGCCTTGGATTTCACTTGCAAGTACCACTGCGAAGTTATGGTGGCTTTTTCTTCACCTCAAGCCAGCCCTCATCCGTGAATACCCACCCATGGGAACGTCTCAAAATCCCTGCGTTATCCAGACATGCCTCCATCATCTTTCAACTTTTCTCCGCGCGAAATATGGTCTGAGGGGTCTCTTTCCCAAGTGGAGTAGCTGCCAAGACTACTTAAACTATTCTAGAGAACATCACCAGGAGGCAGACCACAGCACCTTCCATCGTTGACTTATGTTTACAGTGTCAACTTTACTCGATTTTGACCGGTCATTAGTTGTACATATTATTGAGTCTATTTTTAGCTTCAATAACTATGCGACTGTTTTCGGCAATCTCAAATAGGTAGAGTAAACTGTGCACTTATACCTGCACTGCTGGAGGCTGAAGAAATCGTCTTTGCCGACCTAATTCGGTATGGATGTTACCGTTGTTCAGTTAAATAGCCTGGTAGTTATGCTGTAATGCTAGTGACTTGATATAATTTTAAATTAAAATTGAACGAACGTAGCGTAAGATTAATAATGGGTCTCAATTGTATTCTTTTGTTGAAATTCTGAGTACGTTATTGCTTGTATCAAAAAATTTATTTCAATCCCTCAGAATTACGCTTGAGCCAAGGGGCTTGATAAATGTGAACAGAAGTAGGTATTTTTGGATATTCTATTCCCGCAAAGGATACTTGTCTCGTTATTGGAGGCCAAACGGCGAGAGATTGCGGCCCGTGCAGTGAGGATGGGTAAGCTTGTTGCCTAATATTTCATTATTGTTGCCTTGTAGCCTCACAATGTTGACATTTGTCGTTGTGCAAGATTGAGCCCCAGATTGCGCCAACATACGTTTCCACACGAATTTCTATGAGTTTGTAATCTTCACCTTTCTCAAGGTGACCAAAGACACTTTGCTACTAATATAACTTCGAAAAAAGTACAAATTTATTCTCGTACACCCACATACTAATTTGTCATTTCTCAACCGAACTTTTGTGGTATCCTTTCAGCCATTATGGACATCGAAGCTCTAAAGGAGCAATGGTCGGAGGTTGAGGACCGAGACGGATTGCGCTTGAGCTGGAATGTCTTCCCAAGTTCTCGTATGGTAAAAAATACTCTTCTCTTTTATTCGAGAGCTCGCTGAATCGAAGCAGGAAGCATCACGTCTTGTTGTGCCAATTGGAGCAATTTATACCCCCCTCAAAGAAAAGCCTGATACTCCTCTCCTTCATTTTGAGCCAGTTATATGCAAACAGCCATGTCGATCTGTTCTAAATCCCTTCTGGTAAGCTTAAGGCAGCTTCAAGGGAAAATTATTGACATCTATTATCAGCCAAGTCGATGTTCGTGCACGTCTTTGGATTTGTCCTTTTTGCCTGTCTCGAAATCCTCTACCACCGCATTACAAAGACATCACTGCCAATGCCATTCCTCGCGAGCTTCACCCATCGAATACAACTATAGAGTATAAGCTCTCGAGGCCAGCTCCAAGCCCGCCTATTTTCCTTTATGTGGTGGATACTTGCCAAGAAGAAGACAGTTTGAGGGCCCTTAAAGAATCATTGATCATGAGTCTAAGTCTTCTACCTGAAAGCGCGCTCGTGGGACTCGTGACATTTGGCACCATGGTAACACAAATTTCTTCAAAATACAAATACAATTTGTTGATTCCTTGACAGGTCCAGGTTCACGAAATAGGATACACTGAATGCCCAAAGTCATACGTCTTTCGTGGGTGCAAGGATTATTCTGCGAAACTAGTACAGGAAATGCTTGGACTCAGCTCAGGAATTCGACCCAATGTTCAACAGCAGCCTGGGCGTCCAAATGTTTCTCCCGGTGGCCCCGCATCGCGCTTTCTCCTCCCTGTACAACAGTGCGAGTTCCAGCTCACTAAAGCGCTTGAGCAGCTACAAAAAGATCCATGGCCAGTAGCGAGCGACAGGAGAAATCTCAGATGCACTGGAGTAGCGCTAAGTGTTGCAGTTGGCCTCCTAGAATCATCATTTCAAAACTCTGGTGGTCGTATTATGCTTTTCGCCGGGGGACCGGCAACTGAGGGTCCTGGGCTGGTTGTTGGGCCAGAACTAAGAGAACCCATCCGTTCTCACCACGACATAGATCGAGATAATATCAAGTATTATAAAAAGGCTCTCAAGGTAAGCTGAACATCACCTCCAACATTTAAGCAGCCATTTAACTTTCTTAGTTTTATGATAATCTCGCGAAGCGAACCGCCCAAAATGGGCATATAATCGACATATTCGCAGGGTGTTTGGATCAGGTTGGCCTACTAGAAATGAAAAGTCTATCTAATTCAACTGGTGGTCACATGGTTCTCACTGATAGCTTCACGGCATCTATGTTTAAGCAATCATTCATTAGAATTTTCGAAAAAGATGGTGATGATAATTTGCTGATGGGATTCAATGCTTCATTGGAAGTATTAACAACAAAGGAACTAAAAGTTACAGGATTAATTGGTCATACGGTGTCAATGAATAAAAAGTCGACGTCTGTGGGTGAGACTGAGTGTGGAATAGGCAATACTTGCTCATGGAAGATGTGTGGGATTGATCCTAGCTCTAGCTACGGTATTTATTTTGAAATTGCAAGTCAGGGCGGCACAGTACAACATCAACAAGCACCTCAGAAAGGTATGATACAATTTTTAACCTATTATCAGCATTCATCTGGCCAGTTTCACCTTCGCGTCACTACAGTAGCGCGAAATCTAAGCGGACCAACCGGTGATCCTACAATTGCACAATCATTTGACCAAGAAGCCGCTGCTGTTTTGATGTCAAGGATCGCTGTTTTCAAAGCTGAAATTGACGACGGCCCGGATGTCCTACGCTGGGTGGACAGAATGCTTATTCGCTTGTGTTCTCGGTTTGCTGATTACCGAAAAGATGATCCAACATCTTTCCGATTGGAAAAGAATTTTACTTTGTATCCTCAATTTATGTTTCATTTAAGACGAAGCCAATTCCTGCAAGTCTTTAATAATTCCCCAGACGAAACCGCTTTCTATCGACATGTCCTTAATCGTGAAGATGTCAGCAATTCCCTTATTATGATTCAACCTACTCTAGACTCTTACACGTTTGATCAAGAAGGTAGCCAGCCTGTACTTTTGGACTCTACCTCAATTCAACAGACTCACATATTACTACTCGACACTTTCTTTCATATACTCATATTTCATGGTGAAACGATTGCTGAGTGGCGCAAGGCTGGATATCAAGATCAAGAAGGTTATGAAAACTTTGCATATCTACTTGAACAACCAAAAGAAGATGCTAGGGTAATGCTACAAACACGCATTAATTGCTTTTGCTAAACTATTTTAGGACCTTATCACGGACCGCTTTCCCTTACCCCGGTTTATTGTTTGTGATGCTGGCGGCTCACAGGCACGCTTTCTCCTATCAAAGCTCAATCCATCGACAACTCACACAACTGGGGCATATGGTGGTGTTGGTGCGCAAACAGCGCAAACAATATTTACTGACGATGTTTCATTACAAACGTTCATGGATCATTTAATGAAGTAAGTCCTTCTATCGCTCAGGAAAGTGGTGATCTAACGTCTCACAGACTTGCAGTCAGTGGCACCAACTAATCCAAATATTGGAGGAAGATTTTCTACGAAATCTTAAGTTCGCTTAATAGCATTGCTACAAAGAAGATACTTTTGATTGTAATCAGTCAACCGTCATTTTTTGATGATGATGATTTTATTTAACGTCTATATAATTGGCACGCGCTAGAGGCACGTGGCATTTGATCCTACTACTGTACACAGGACGCTAAGACCGAGGTATTAGATTTCAGAACTTTCCAAGTATTATTTACAAAACTAGGCTACTTTACATGAAACTGCAGTCAAAGAAAGTTACACTTCAGGGAAGGGCAGTTCAAAAAACTATTTTTATTCCAATTTTATCTTATTTTTATTTATCAAGGACAAATTTCCTCGAAAACTCGTGATACCTCGAATCTCCTACTCAGAATAATAGCCCTCTCCGCTGTTCCAATTAAGTTTGGAATGAGTTGACTGATAAGCCTATTCGGGCGACCTAGGCGACGGTAGAGGATTTAGCAGAACAAGGAGTGAATTGGAGTCCTAGCTGATCCACAACGACAGTTCTTTCTGGTATCTGTGTGCTTAAAATGAATATGATATCGAGCGATATCACATTGTCCAGCTCTGGCGATTATCACTCTGCCCAGTTCTCGATTTAACAAAAGTTCTTTGGGGAAATTTCGGTGTGCCTCTCATATCTAGATCTTTATACGGTTTTGGGTTATTATTGATTCACCAGTTTTCTCCGCCTTCTTTCGTTTTTGTATTTCTCTATTTTTCTATGGAAGCAAAATAAGCCTTTTTTGCAATGGCGTCAGTATTTTGGCTCCTATTTTTGCCTCTGTGTCAGCTAACTCGTTGCCTTCTAATCTAGAATGCCCTCGGATCCATTTTATTCTAATTTGGGTTTATTTTAGTTGTAGCAGCCTTGTGTGGCTTTTCAATACCTAGCTGACTTGATGATTTCGGGGAAAGCGGATTGTATTAAGGAAATAATGACCCCTTTGTCATTGAAATTGTGGAGCGCATTGATACAAGTAACTACAGAAGTGAAACCAAGTATAGATTTTGTAGTCACGTGAATACCAACAACGTGGCCTACTTGATAGCCCCAATTATTCTAAATTCTAACAGCCATGACTGAATCGTACTTGAATTTGCCAATGATTCTGATGTCAAAATGTGTAATGAACAAAAATTAACTACGTGTACAATACCTGGACTTCATGTAAAATTAACTTCACTTATAATAATTATCTTGAAGTATTTTTCACTTAGAAAACTCTCGATAATACTTAAGCTAGCTTTTGGAGTGCGTACATGGTCAAATTTTGGAAACTTATTACACTCGTGTAATTCGCAACATATTCTAGATACCATGCTCTTATATCTATCCAAGTTGCTTTGAGCTCTCTTGATCTGTATTCTTGCTGAAAATTAACTAGGTGTGCTGCCTATTCAATATTTCATGTCAATTTAAACTCTCGAGCCTTTGAAGGGTATTTCCTTGCTTAGACTGTGAATTTTCGGTTTAAACATAGTTCAGACGAGAGTCTGAAGAATTACTGATACTTTTCCAAGATTTCTAGACTTTTTCTTCCAATAGACCATGCTTCCATAGTGTGATGTAAGGAGTAGTTCCATCTTCTCGGTAGTTCATCAATATAGCCCTGAGAAGGTTAATAAAGTTTTACTGAGAAGTACATTACACATACATTCCATCGATATCACCACTTTCGCCCATGTAAAAGTCATAATCTTTGAAATTTTGAACAATCTTCGTTGCTTGATCTTTTGCTTTGCTCTTGAATTCTGTTATGACGGAATCTTCTACGTTTTTAGCTTTTAAGTGTGCCTCAACAGCTTTCATGTATCCTTCAAAAATGTAAGCTATATTTTAGGATTTAGGAACTTGAGTACCTTTCAAGTGCGATAAGTAACTTTTTTTATCAAATGAGGTTTGTTGTAGGCGGAAACTGCTCACAATATTGTTGACTAACTCTGAAGAATCTTCGACCTCGTCTTCAGGTTCCTCAGCAGAAGCATTGGCCCCAGTGTCTTAATTTTAAATTAATACCGTTTCTCAAAATGTTTTAGAGTCTCATACCGACTGTGACAGAGCCCAGTTTGATCATTGCGCAGTCACATTCATAAACAATTCCGTTGATTTCTTTCACATTAAAAGAGTCTGACAGGAGTTCATCACCTGTGATAACATCCTAGGTTTTTTGTTAGTGTGACTGACTCCAGAATAGTCTACCTGAAAAAATATTTCTGCAGTTGACAAGGATAAATGAAGACGTTATAGCTAGTTACCTTGTAAATTATCATGGTGAGAGAGAGGTAGAGGTATGCTTAAATGTTCTCTTTTGTCGAAATTAGTCTTTTGAATTTTGACAGAAGCAATGAACAAATATTTTTCCAAATTACAAATTCTCGGTTGGGATGTGGCGCGGGGTCGACTACAAATACACTGTCATGCTTGACTTGGCACGCTACCCCACCTAACTAGATAAGACAATCCCATCATAACCAGCTTTCAGGATAATGAGACAAATCCAGAGAGCCCAGATACAAGCTGGATTGTCTGCTTTCGTCAAGGCCATAGCCGTGTTTGACGCATTCTCTATCTCTTTGGATGCCGCACCGTCACCCGAATCCTTCCCAAGCGCTTGTCAGGAGTACAGTGCAGGACGTGCTGGCTTTGGCATAACAGCCGCGCTTGTTCCTCGGCCCCAAGATGCCGCCTTTGTGGGTCCACCCAACACACAGAGAAGGACCACAATAACCTCTGCGTTGCACCGGCTGGACACACCTGCCCCCCGCGATGTGTCCACTGTCACAGCCCTCATCAAGCAGATGACCCAACTTGTGAGCTGCGGCCGCAACCCTCTAATCCACCAAAGACAGAATCATAGGTTATTGTCATCCGCAACATGTTCTCTGAGGCACGCATCCGCCGCCAGGTAGAAGTATCACGCGTTAAACCCTCTAACACTACGCAGGGCCTCAGCACCTCTCATACAGCACAGCACACTAGCTATCCAACAGTTTCCCAGGGATTGGGACCATCAAGAATCTTAGCCGCAGCCAAGCGCACTCTTTTCTTAAACCCTTTCGAGGTCTTGAAGATATCGGCCGGAGCGTCAGATAATCAGATGGAACTTTAAAAAGATAGAAGTCAACGTAGCAACCTTTCAGCTTGCTTTATGCCAGTTCATTTCGTACTAACTTTCCCTCATTTGTGGGTACTGCGTTTGTCAGACCAGGATCAGAGCCCGGTGGAATTCGTATTCCTGAATTAATATTTCGTGATTCATGTAAATTCCATTCTTTTAACATGATCGTAACATTATTGTTAGAATAATATGCCAAGCTGGTACCTGACATAATTTGTGATCGCCTCAGGAAAACCTTGGCGTTTTGGGTAATTTTCAGCTAGAAAATACTCGGCGTCCGTGTAACAGACGTTGTGGACTGGTATTGAGTCGGTTTAGGATTACATCTTGGCTACAGCATGTTTGGATTGTGTCCTGTGATGTAAGGAAGCTATTTCTAGATATTATCATCATATGTCAGGTAGTAGATATGTGTAGATATATAAGCTGAGAAAAAGAGGAAGGAAGACAGACAAACAGACAATGACATCTTTTTATTTTACTTCAATTGAAAGCTCCTGTGCGAGCTATTCTTCCAGATACCTCTAGTCTCGATCATTACAGCTTCCGAACCAGCTAAAAAGGTTCGATAGCGTTTACACTAAAGGGGTTTATTTTTATTTATTTTATTTTTCTCGTATATATCTTTTCCATCATTTATCATTGTCATATCTTAGTCATCGCATACTCTCTTTAATTGTTAATCAGGTCTCACCTCCCTTGGTTAGGGAGTCGAAGCCCTCCGACAGCTGAGGTAGTAAGCCTTAGCGTCTTTTGCCCATTTGGAATTTAGATAAGAGGAGCATAGGCCCTTTTTCAGATAGACGTTAAATGCAAAACAAATAAACATAAACAGCTGTCTGCTTGCGAAGAGGCCCTTCAGTTTTCAAGAGGTGAAAAAGGAAATGGGAAAAAATGAGGTATGATCAGGAGCGAAATACCCTCTAGTGGAGGTTGATGACTGAGCAACAGCCTTCGGTGGTATTTACGAACCTTGGAGTGAAATATTTTCCTAAAGCCACGATCGGTTAGATTTCACGATAACGACCAAACTGGCTGATGCCAAAAAAAAAACTGGCCCACGAGGCAATGATTCACTACTCCTTACCAAGTCATTCTTTCACTGCCAAAGAGATCGAATCCTACCTAAGCCTCATCAAGTCTGCTAGTTCGACTTGGTACATCCCCGTTTCCATGACCAACCCTTTCTTCAAATCGATCTCTGGCCTCAAGTAGCCTCCAAACATGCGCGCACAGCCGTATAAATCCGCAGAAGGAAACTAAACCTGGGAGTCAGATTTTCGGGATTGGCGTAAGACATGGTAGGTTATATTGAAAGTATCACGCCAACGTCAGATATAGCCTCGATGTAGGTGAAATTTTCATTGTTCGAAAGGAGTGAGTCACATTAGAGTGCATTGTGCGCGTCACGACTTTATGTGCGTGAGTGCTGGGGGCACTAAAATCATGGATATGGCTCAATAGTTCGGTGGTACGTTTTCCGGGCCGGTCTCGTAAGTAGAGCCTAGATAGCTTGGAGACCTACCCCACTTGAGACTTAAATAATTAGTTTCAATCGAGCAAGGTTCAACAACAATTCTCGCAGTATAGAAATGTACGGATGATGAAGACATACTTAGATAACCAAAGGTTTTGAACCTTTCCCTTGTGTGGTACTCACGTAGGAGAATCGAATGTTCATGTACGCAAACATACCTCAATGGAATTTACGAATAAAATCCAGAGTATGAGATTTTTTATTAATTCACTCATTTCTCTAGTTTAACTTCCAATGCAGTATCTATATACAGAACTGTGAATACGGTTAGCCACGTTAGAAAGGGATAAAGCTTTCAAGCAAAAAACCCCATAATTCCGCCGCGACGGCACAGCCCAGCTTGATGCCGAGGTTGTCCCTTCGTGCCATTTAAATTTGTTTCACTCCAAACATTAACTCCTCTACCGCGGCATTAGGGAGGTGGGTTAAACAGCGTAGCCAAGAGCTCGTGGAAGAGTGGTGGCAGAGGTATCGACCGAAACGATACAAAGATCTGGACCTATTCATGCGTTGCAAAAGACCACCGGAACTAGCTTTACCAAGATGGGCGTACCGTCGTCCTATTGCGACAAGAACAGGCCGCGGGGACTATGCCGACTACCATCGACGTTTCAACCCCGAACATGAAGATCTGAAATACGTTTGCGGCCGAGAGAAAAGGCCCTGGCATTTTTCAGAGTGCCGACCTGCTTTACTACGTTGGAGAATCTATGAGAAAATGGCCCCACCTGGGGCCAGGGAAATGATAGGGGAAAAGGGATGGCAGAAGTTCATTCAATTCTTAACTACAAGTAGATGTTACAGTCTGCCGAAGAATGAACAGGGTGGGAGGTGACCACGCTGAGATTGTTTCTGACCCGAGAGGAGATGGGTGTGGAAGATAGGGATGCGGCGCAGGGCACCGTAACTCAGACATATACTGTTCATTTTTTTTCATTCTTTTCTTTTGTAGCTTCTGCCTCCACTGCCGGTCATGTAGGTAGCAATGAGCTTTCAGAGCCCATCTACCCGTGTCACGTCTAAATAGATGTTAGGTTCTTCCTGTCACGTAAAAGATTTCAAATTCAAATTAACTCCTCTATCGCACTGATGCCTATTCGGCTGAATTTATATTTTTTTCACCATCCTTCTCTCCTATTTTCGATGACGGAATTGTTGGAGCTGCGGGTGTTCTAGCTCTTAATTTGTTTTATCATGCTACTGAGTCTACGATCACCTTTCGTGGACGTCCTGGTCCTCTTCTTGGGGGTTAAACCTTACGGTTACTTACCAGTGAAAATCTTTGGTCGTCGGTGGTCGTAGATACTGTTTTTGCAGCAATTGTGGGTTTGCTCTCCCTTCGAATTTCGGCCGTTGGTTCTAGAATCTCAAAGCGGGCCTTCTGAATACTCCCCTTGTAGACCTGAAGGGCCCGACAGGACGTTCTCTGCCGCGAACAATGTTCCTTACGAAACTTTACGCGAGAACCTCTTTTCCTGGGGGAGTCACGGGCTTGGTGAGCGCATGAGCACTCACTGCACCTAAATGCTTTACCAAACGACGCCTGGGTGTGTCCCCATTGGCTTCAGTTATAACATTGCTTTGGCTGGGCCCTCGGGGACCACTGCAGAGACGAAGCATGATCTTCTATTTGAGCGTTGCTGGCTAATTTATCGAGGGCAAAGACTGAACACCTGCACGCGGTGTCCTCCACGAACCTTGGAGTGAAATATTCTCCCAGAGCCAAGTTGAGTCAAATGTCGCGATACTCAAGAAGTTGGCCCACGAGGCAACGATTCGAATTACGCAACCACGTCAAATTTTCACTGCCAAAGAGTTTGACTCCAACCTGAGTCTCATCAAGTCTACAAGTACGACCAAGGAAATCCTCGTTCCAATGACCATACTTCTCGTCCAATATTCTCTGGCCTCAGCTTGTCACTAAATACACGCCCACGCCGATATTTATACCCAACGGAGGAAGCAAAGTGTGGCGCAAAAATCTGGGAGACTGTTCTTTGAGATGGACGTGGGAGGGATCATCACAAGTTGACAAGATGATGCAAAGTAAGGACATAAGCTCGAAGGGCATGAAATTCTAAATGTAGGCAAGAGTTTTACGAATTGAGCTTTGTGCGCGCCAAGACTTCGGTTGCGAGAGTGCAGTTGACACTATAAACACAAGTCAACGATGGAAGATGTTGTGGCCTGCCTCCTGGTGATGTTTTCTAGTATAGTTTGAGTAGTCTTGGCAGCTACTCCACTTGGGAAAGAGACCCCTCGGACCATATTGCGCGCGGAGAAAAGTTGAAAGATGATGGAGGCATGTCTGGATAACGCAGGGTTTTTGAGACTTTCCCATGGGTGGGTATTCACGGATGAGGGTTGACTTGGGGTGAAGAAAAAGCCACCATAACTTCGCAGTGGTACTTGCAAATGAAATCCGAGGTATGAGTGCTCTTTCCTTGCGTTGAATCATCTTTTCTGAACTTTTTCTCCGATATAATGTCGTAGCTAGATCTTAAGAAAGATAAGTGGGACACGGTATTACGTTGTAAATGTTGACTAGAAGACTTTACTGCTACAGATGAAGTCTATATACTGATAGTCGGGTCATGTTATCTGACTAGCTTAGCTTACATAAGTAGGTGAAATAGTTCCCCTTTAAACTTTTTTTTTTTAAAATCATTTAATGTGTATTCAGCTATAGAGCTATGATACATGTGGGATGACTCTTTTGACGTTAGAGACACTCATACTCTGGATTTCATTTGCAAATACCACCTTGAGGTTTGCTTGCCTACACAAACAGTCGACCCTCCTCCGTAAGTACCCACCAAAGGGAATTTAAAAACCTTAAATTATCCAAGCATGCCTTCGTCATCCATGCATACAAGCGCAGCGAGAAATGTGGTTGTGTTTTGCTGGATTTGAACCAGCGATCTACTGTCTCATCCCCTTGGCACTAGATAGCTGCATACGCAATTAAAATCCGATGCAAAAAAAAAAACCCCTACAATTGTTCTTGACTCCTAGGCAAATAACTACTAAGCTACAAGTACAACCCTAGCAAATGACCATAGCTAAACAGTAAACTCTCTTGATGACAAGCAACTAATATTTTCACCAATACAATATGAAATGCCTGGGGCATATCCATCTATCTTTGTGGCTTTCTGAGAGGGGACGTCGCAGTTAGAAAGAGGCTGAGGACTCAGGAGAGAATGGTAAGTGCTGCATGATTGAGAAACCGTCATCGGGGGAAGATTTCAATAGGTGGACTAAATAATTATATAAGTTGTTTAAACCTTAGTCCTTATATTGTGTAATGATCAGTTTAAGGAGTTCTAATATAAAACATGGAAGGTAGACTTGTCTATGAAATCAACTCCTTGGAGGTACATACAATAATTATCCATGAAAACGGATCCAACACTCGAGATTTACATCTTGAGTGCGGGTCCGTGCACGCCAACAAAACAACCCAATAACCACGTGATAAACAAGCTAATTGTACAGGGTATCTTGCTCTCCGGTTCTCCTAACTCCTGGCTAATGATGACAACTCAGACCCATAATAAGGGTCATGAGGATCCTGGAATTGCAATGCATTAGACTTATTTCTCAACATAAGTTTATACATGTAGTCACGTGATATGGTGTTATCCACTATAACGTAACGATAGACTAAAGCCTCGCAGAATCACAACGTGATAACGAGACGGCACTGTAACCTGATGGCGGGTCGCCATATTTCGTACTATATAATAGATAAAATAAGGTTGCATGTCTCGGCTGACTAGATTTGGATCCTGCTTAACCTAGAGGATCTATCCTACATTGGCAGTTCCATCGCTTACGCCGAGATAAACACAAAAATGTTTAGTAAACTGCAAGCAAACCTGTCCGGAGTAATCAGTGTCAATACCCATAGCAATCAGCTTTCCCTTGGAAGTTGTGTGTCTCTTTAATGCAACTCTTCTGGCTAACCTGCCATTCTGTCTTGAAAATTCGTCACACCATTACAGCCTCGATCGAAGGAACTTTTAATATTGTTCCATCCTAGCTTTAATTTTACCTGGATCCAACATGACTGAGGCGTAATTTTTCGATGAAAATAAATTTACATTTAAATCTCGTCTAAATGTCGTATCAGCAGGTTGGTGCATTATAAAAGTAATGATTCCCGACTGGAAAGTTTCGGTCTACCTCTATAGTCACAAACAAGTTGAAGGTTTTCCCCCGAAGCCAGATCCAGCAGTAGAGAAATTGGTGTCGACCGGCATCATCTTGGAAGTAAATATTTGATTGAAAATTTCAAAAAAGTTCGCTGGCAAAACGTGGCTATCTCAAACCAACCCGATAATGATATCCTGCGCCTTTATTTTTATGTTACGACACTTGGATTGCAGTTCTCCTCCAGAAAATGTTTTAAATTTCAATCCCCCAGTATTGGAACGTATGGTCATTCTGGGCAATGATGGTGGCAAATCATTTTATGGCGCTTACGATAATCCTATCTTGGGCAAGTTCCCTGTAACCGATACCAAATTTTATTTATCTACGACGATCAAAAATAATGTTGAAGATGGTACGAATATAAAAGCATATTGTTCAAAAACTATGTCTTCCGTGGAAATTGCAGAGTTACTCGGAGATATCATGTCGTCTGAGACAGTAGAGAATCAAGACCTTGTACCCTCTGATCCGAAGTATCAGATATGCTTGGCCCAAATCCAAAAATTGACGGATAATCAAGGAACGGAATCTAATCACCAACATGTTCAATCACCGATATCAGCAGCAAATCTGAACCAGTTCCAACGTTGTTCAAATAGCGACCTCATCAACTTGGCTTATAGGGGTCAAATATCAGTATCAGGAACATTTAGCTACTTGGCTCCACCAAGCCAGAAGGCTCCACTAAAAGTAGCCATGAACCAGCATATTCGTTTTAGAGATTTGGCGAAAAGTTGTCATGTCTATGGGCTATTCGAAAAAGAAGAAGTCGACGAGATACTTATCTGGTACTTTGACCATCTTCATATTTTTAGGAGAAACCCCGATACTCCAATATGGATTCCAGTGACGCAAATCGGTTCAGAGAATAGAAATGGTGCAGTAATCCTAAACTTTATTCGCAAGAATACAGATGCCTTGACACATTTTAACAAAATCATTCGAAAATCGGGCCTTTCAAGCAGATTAAACGGTTGCCTTCGCGGGTCTATTAGCTGCGATATCCAAAAGAAACAGAATATAGGAATAATAATGGCTCATATCAGTAGTATAGAATTTAATACATATCCTAGTAATTTTAAATATTTTTAAAAGCAATAATTGCCAGCGCTGGATGTCCAGGCGTCATGGATTAGTGTAATGTAGATGGACGCTGATCATCGCTGGCAAAGCTTAGGTCCCATAAAATTATTAAAGTTGCCATGCACTAGCATGCATGTGTCGGGCTTTATCAACTGTGCTAGGCTTTTTTGGTAAGTTAAGTGTATTTAAAACAATAATTATTTAATTTTGCAGGGCCAACGGGTAAGTGTCATAGGACACTAATCACGTGCTACAATGTACGCTTGGACCAGTGAGGAACCACTTTTATGTGTATATAGTATTGCGTTAGCCACCATGTCTTTCTCTCCTCATAGATTACAATCATATTATTGTTTTGCCTTTTAGTCAGAGTCTTTCCTGACCCTCATGCTATCACATTGATTGTAATCTCCATTTTAGTCTAAACCACTTGTAATCAGCGACGTCTCGCAATTATATGAGTAGTGACGACAATTTTAACCTTGAAGGTATTCTCCGTGAAATTTCTGCGATAGAAATCGACGCCTCAAGTGCAAATACAGAGTCTCACAGACCTGCCCTGGAACCAGAGCCACAGACGCCTGAATCAAAAATCGCAACAACTAAACACGAAACCAGAAATATTAAAGCCACAATGACAAACCAAACCGACGCAGTACAGCACAAGTTCACAACTTGGGATGGAACACCTGATCAATATTCTTTATGCTCAGTCATGTGGCGAGTAGCAGCGGAGGACCCAGCAATCATCAAGGGTTTTGGTGGTGAAAGAGGCGTCTGCCTTGCACTTATGCAGACGTTACCAGCGGAGCACAGAAGCCGAGTGGGGCCTTTCTTTGAGAAACAAGTTAAAGCTAAAGAATTTTACTCAAGTTCACTTCTCGACGAATTCGACCGGCACTTCGTTGATAGGGACCGTGAAGCTCGAAATCGACGCCTCCTTTACTCTGTGAGACAAGGAAACGCGCAACCTTTCGCAAAGTTCCTTCACACTTTCGAAGGTTATCTCAGTAATTCAGGTGAACTTGCTCCTATTGGAGTTTCTCGAATCCACACCCTATCTGAGGCCATTGCTCCGTATCTACGCCGGGCTGCAGCAAACCAGACAGATCTAGAAAAGCTGAACTATGAAAAATACGTCGAACAACTATCGACTTTAGCAACTAATTGGGAATCCTTGCCAGAATTTCAGGCTAAGAGTGTAGATGACACTGGAGAAACCTACACCGAAAATGCGATCGGAGACCTTCCTCTAAACATTCAAGAGCAACTACGAAAGCAAATAGTCAACCAAACAGAAACACAATTACAATCACAATCACCAAAACCCAGCGTAAACTCTCCAATACGTGACCGTGAGGGAGATATAAAAATGTCAGGGACTGACATTATTTCTATTATTTCTATTGTTTCTACAGTTATATCAGCTATAAATAATGGAAACAATTCCAAAGGGTTTGGACAGGCTCGGCCACTAGATAAACGTCCAAATGCCCCTCATTGTTCCGAGGAAGAACGCCATCAGCGTCTCAAATCAGGTCGATGTATTCGATGCAATGTATTTCCATCGCACCGTTTTAGAGAATGCAAGTTTAAAGGTTTTCGCTCAGAAATGTCCAATCTAAGGATAGCTTCTGCATCAATAAGCGAGTCGGAAAACTAGCAGCCCCTGTACGAAGTCGTGTTCAGGGGAATGTTGGTGTGTTTGGAGAACTACTAGATCAAATACCACCTGCTAGCGAAATTAGGGAGGCTGTTGAAAGGTTGAATAGTAGTCCATTTTTAATTGATATTTTAATAAATTCTACTTGTTATTCCACCGCACTCTTTGACACAGGATGCCTACCCTACGCAGTTTTTGATCGTAGTTTTGCAGACCAGGCACACTTACCACGCCTTCCAGTCACCCACAGATCTCTAAAGCTCGCCAAAGATGGACCTCAAATTCCCATTACCGAAATGACTTGGGCTACACTTGACATTGACGGTAGAGCTGAAAGAGTATTTGGCTACATAGTAGCAAACTTACAATATAATATAATCCTCGGCAAAGGTTGGGCCGAGCGTAACAATGTAACATATGAAGCAGGTAAGAAGTTTCTCACTCTAGGAAGTGGTGCAAACGCAATAAAAGTCAAGGAGTCTGGATGGATGGAACGGGATGAGTTATCAGGCTCTATGCACCAACTACGTCAAGCAAAAAACGTTACAGCTTCAATATTTGCCGCGGAAATCCGTCGTGGAAGAAAAGCAAATAAACATCTACATTTATTCTCCATCACTATAGCAGATATCAACAAGGCCTTGAAAAAATTAGATAACTCAGCGGTCAAGCAAACGGTGGAAGAAATATCAAATCAACTACCTCAGCAGCTTCGACATTTAGCAAAGAACTTTCTAGCTGATGAAGATGGAATCCTCCCAGAATCTAAGCCAGGATGGGACCATTCTATAAACCTTGATCTAGACGATGAAGGCAAACCTAAGGAACCCCCCTCAGGTCCACTTTATGGCATGTCACGAGATGAGCTCCTCGTTCTCCGTAAAACTCTTACAGATTACTTACGTAAAGGATGGATTCGCGCCAGCAATTCTCCTGCAAATGCACCGGTACTATTCGCAAAAAAACCGGGCGGAGGTCTTCGATTCTGTGTTGATTATCGTGGCCTCAATTCGATAACAAAAAGGGACAGATACCCGTTGCCGCTCATCAAAGAAACACTTCAGCAACTCTCCAAAGCCCAATACTTCACAAAACTTGACGTCTGTACTGCATTCCATCGCCTACGTATTCGACCTGGCGATGAATGGAAAACAGCGTTTCGAACAAGGTATGGACAATACGAGTGGCTTGTCATGCCATTTGGATTATGCGGCGGACCAGCTACTTTTCAACGTTACATAAATGCTGTGTTACAAGATATTTTGGACGAATACTGTTCAGCCTATATGGATGATGTTATCATCTATTCTGATGGTGATTTATCCGACCATTATAAAAAGGTTGAAGAAGTTATCAGACGACTCGAAGAATCTGGCTTACGGTTAGACATCAACAAATGTACCTTTGCCACGTCTGAAGTCAAATATCTTGGGTTCGTAATCAAGGCTGGCGAGGGTGTTACAGTTGATCCAGCCAAAATAGAAGCCATCAAAAACTGGGAGGAACCAACGACAGTTTCTGAAACCCGCTCTTTTCTCGGTTTCGCAAATTTTTACCGAGAGTTTATTCCAAAATTTTCGGCCATTGCCCAGCCATTGATCAGTCTCACATCGAAACAAACCCGCTGGAGCTGGGACACGAAAGAAAAAGATGCATTCGAAAAGCTTAAGTCTATGCTATCCTCAGCACCATTATTAGCGCTTTTTTCAGCCGAGAAAGAAACCTATTTGGAAGCAGATGCCTCTGGCTATGCTATCGGTGGGGTTCTTTCTCAAATTGACAAAAAAAATCGTCTAAGACCAGTAGGTTACTTTTCACGTAAATTGACTCCAGCAGAATCAAACTATAACATTCATGATAAAGAACTGCTCGCTATTATAACAACAATGCGCCATTTTGATGGTGAGCTTCGAAGCGTTGAAAATCCTTTTACCGTTATCTCAGACCATCAAAATTTACGATATTTCACAACTTCAAGACAACTTAGCGAACGTCAAGTGAGATGGGCCGAGACCTTGGCAAGGTTTAACTTCAAAATTGTATTCCGGCCTGGCTCCCAGTCCGGTAAACCAGACTTTCTTTCGCGGCGGGCACAAGAAGCCCCGCGGGATACGTCGGACGAGCGGTTACAAGGCCGCAATATCCAGTTGTTCAAAAATAATTTAAGCACGTCTTCACCAGAAGAATTCATCTTAAATACAATAAACATTGTAGACTTTCCGGATATGACCTTGAAACATATTGAAACTGACCAGAATATCATGCCCAGCGGCAAAAAATTATTTGAAGATAAGGAAATTGCTTCTTTGTGGGACGAAGCTCTAGAAAAAGACCAAGCTTTTCACAGTATTCATGCATCAGTCGCTGCAGGCCAGTCTACTTTACCTATAGACCTTAAATTAGGGGTTCAAATGACAGATTGTAGCCTAGATGACAGAGGCGCGTTAACACGACGAGATGCGCTATGGGTTCCAAATTGGGAGCCACTGAGAACAACGATCATACAACGTTCCCATGACTCAAGTATTACTGGACACCCCGGAAGAGACGGTACCCTTCACATAGTGTCTCGAGCATTTTTTTGGCCTCAACAATATTTAGACATTCGCAGATTCACGCGAAACTGCTCGATCTGTAGTCGATCTAAAGCGTGGCGTCAATGCCCGCAAGGATTACTCAGACCACTCCCTGTACCTGAACGCTTTCATAGTGAGTTGTCGGTAGATTTCATGACAGACTTGCCTGCGCAAAAAGAAGACGACCCCAAATATCTTATGGTTATCACTGACCGTTTACTCAAGAGCTGCACCCTAGAAGCAATGAATTCGATGGAAGCTGAAGCTTGCGCAGAACGCTTCCTAACTTGTCATTATCGTTTTCATGGGTTTCCTAAATTTATAACATCAGACAGAGGGGCAAATTGGGTGGGTCATTTCTGGACTTCTTTATGCAAAATGACAGGTATTAACCAAAGATTGTCGACCGCTTACCATCCGCAGACCGATGGTAGTACAGAAAGGATGAACCAAGAAGTGTTAAACTACCTCCGAGCATTTATTAGCTACTCGCAGATAGACTGGTCTAAACTACTCCCAACTGCCATGTTAGCACTCAATAATAGAAAATCGACAGTTATTGGCACTAGCCCATTTTTTGTTACTCACGGCTATGATGCTGAACCAATACAACAAACACATACTAATTCACGAGCAACAAAATCACCGCAAGCCCGCGCGCGAGCATTCGTAGACCGAATAATACAGGGTCAAAGCATGGCACAGGCAGCTATGACAACAGCACAGCAATTAATGGAAGAATCAGCCAACCATCATAGGAGACCAGCGGA